ACTTTCCATTCATCAAAATTCTATTCATCTAATCTAATCTATTAAATCATCAAAAATTATATTTATAAACTTTTGAACAGTACAGCATTTTTAAAAAAAAGACCAAGTATTCTAGGGAAAAAAATCTGTTAGCATTACAAATGACCGTTTTTTTCTCCATCCAATCACCTGATAGAGTTTTGGTTCCTTGCCACTGTTGCCTTGTTTTTGGCTTGCTTAGTTGGGGACATTTAATATTCACCAATATTATTGATCTGTGTTGTATTACTTTCATGTTATCACTGTGAAGCTGCTTTGATACAATCTGTATTGTAAAAAGCGCTATATAAATAAATGCGACTTGACTTGACTTAACTGATTCAGTTCACTTAAAAAGATGATTTGCTGTAATTAATTTGTTCTTTCTAACATTTCTAATATATAAAACAGAGAACAGTCTCAAGATGAGACATGATTTATAGTTTTGAAACGAAACTGGAATTCCAATTTGATACTTCAACCAACAATTTAGGTAGAATCAGATTATTCAAGGATTATTAAAACGCGCCAATCACACTGTACAGCACTAGGTTCTTTCATGCGAGGGGATTATGGGTTATGACTTCTCAAGAGCTATTCTTAGACTCAACAGTGGCAGTAATACGCCATAAACAGAGATCGACTGAGGAGCAGGGCAGGTTTGCACTAAAACCAGTGACAGACTGCGATTATGAGTCTACTGTAGGGGAGTTTGGTGCACTGGCGTCTGCATCTGGATCGAGTTGCGTTCCCCAACCGCCTGCCCTGGGGCAAACACACCATTAGTGCCAGTTGTGTGGTGCAGTAAAGGCTATAGACTAGCAGCCATGATGTCAGCCTGCTGGGATAAACTGGGCAGTCCATGAAACTGGGTAACTCCATCACCCAATAACTCAACAGAATGGAACCGCCTGATATTCCCAAAGGAAGTCTGGACTTTGATATGGCCGGATCAAAAACCTGTTTGCCAATCCAGAAGCTCTGGAGAGAGAAATGAAAGTACATCAAGCTGTCCACCTTCAAATGCACAGAGATATCAGAGCCTCAGGCAAAAGCTTCTAAAGTACTAAAATAAACACAAGCCCAGAGCGCGAAAGCGATATTCACCGTTCCTGGCAAATCAGCCATCGCTTTTCACGTGGCTCATGGGACGAGGGCAGCAAGCTGACAATCAAACAGCTGCTCTCGATGGCGCGAGTCCCGAGACTGAGTCCTTAGCGCTTTCTGTACCACAAAAAAGCTTTTTGCTTATTAAGTCCTAGTGTCTAAATACTTTCTCTGTGCAGATGCGAAGGAGGGGTCTCGAGAAGAAAGTTCACATTGAGGAACACTTGGTAATGTCAACAGATGCTGAAGGAATGTGATGTGGAAGAAAATTCAGTGAGAGAGAGAGGGAATGACCTCCTCTGATGAGAAACAGCAGATTAGACTGATGCTGGAGATCCCCGGCTGAAATTGCTCTTTCGGACCAAAAGCGGCTTAGTGGATGGGATGTGTGAGAGGTGACATCAGGCCTCCAAATCTCCAATCCATCTCAGAGAGAACAAAACTATTACATCAACCCGGGATTAGCAACACGGACCACCAACAAAGTCTTTAACCCTTTGAGAAGATCAGGAGTGAGATGATTGGCTAATGAGTGTCGTTTCTGTAATCTACTCATGTGGAGCAAAACACTGCTTTCAACACCATTACATGAAACGATATTCAGATGAAAACCTCTCACACAAACTGGTGTGCTCACGCTTGTAGTTCGGTTCTTGAACCACTTGTAGTTCGGCCAAGAAAGAAAATTCCTGGATTTTTTTCCATTACCAATACCAGTACTGACTCGACTCAGCTCGCTTTTCGCTCCGTTTTCCATTGCAGACAGTACCGCCACAAATAGTACCCGGTCGTCATAACGACGCCTTTTGTTCCTCGTTGCCCCATCAATCTCTCGCAGGATCCTCGATTCGGCCACCAAACAAAGGAAACTCAGCACCTCCTCGTTTGACCATGCTGTATTCTTCCGGGTTGCCATAATTATAGTAGTTAGTTTAGGAACTATCTCTGGCCAAACTATTCAAAATGGCGGGGATATTCTGGATACTCCATCTGGCGTGTACAATGATGTCACAGTGACTCTGACCAATCAGCAGTCGGTATTGTTTTCACGTGACATTTTAGTATCGCCTTAGCTCCCTCAGAACCTCGCCGGAGGTGGTACAAAAAAAAGTACCCAAAAGCAGGAACAGGTACAACTTTTACACAGTGGAAAACCAAACAAAGGCGAGCCGAGCCGAGTCTGTGCACTGTGTAGTAGAAAAAAGTTCACACTGTAATTTAACAGTGATAAAATGTGTAAAGGAGTCATAACAGCGGCAGGAATCCCACCATCACACACACAAAACTAGTGTTGTAGTACTCGAAAACAGACTTGATCGCGAGACCACTTTTTGATGGTCTCGGACATTGAGGACTCGGGATTTTTTTTAAGACCAGACAAGACCATAACTGTGAAAATATCACTAATTTGTCAGTATATTGACATTTTTTGTTAACATTCTTGCTTTTATTGTATGTAAAATGTACTGATTCAAATCCAAGCAAAAACGTGACTCATTGGTCATTGCTAATTATATATTTTTGTTACCGCTGCCTGTCACCCATGTATTCATGTTCATGTATTGTTAATAAAAGGCGGAGAAAAGTGAAGACTTGTTTTACATTCTGTACTAAATGATGGAAGTCACCCAGGAGTATTGAATAAAGATGGTTTATTTCAGCTTTGAGTGTTAAATATCTCTGTTTATTTGGGAATGTGGATCTTTCAGATCAATCTCTTTTGATCATGTTTCACATTTTATTGTGTCATGTAGTGTGGGGCGCTGATCTTTGTCTTGACTCGGTCTCGCCCTCCCTCGGTTTTGGTCTTGTCTGGTCTCGGCCCCTAAAAGTCTTGGTCTTGTCTCGGTCTCGATACACTCTGGTCTTGGTCTTGTCTTGGTCTCGGGTTAGGTGGTCTTGACTACAACACTACACAAAACACAGATCTGCTGTGAGCAGACGTGCCTGTAATGGTCAACTTAGCGATTTTGGTTAGTTTACATGTCTTTGGTCCGCGTTGCGTTCATATTTCAGTCGAATTGCACCAGAGTTCGTTTGGAAGCAGACCGAGACCCATATTTTCAGAGTTGGTGCTGAATTTTCAGCATCATTACTCTAGTCTTCAGAGTCACATGATCCTTCAGATATCATGATGCAGATTTGGTGCTAAAGAAACATTTCTTATTATGATCAGCTGATAATAATGCTTGATATTTTTCAGTATTATCATCATCATTAAAGGGTTAGTTCACCCAAAAATGAAAATTAAGTCATTAATTACTCACCCCCATGCTGTACCAACCCCGTAAGACCTTTGTTCGTCTTCGGAACACAAATGAAGATATTTTTGATTAAATTTGAGAGCTGTATAACTACCACATTGGCTCCTAAGGGACTGCCTCTTGACGGCCCAGAAAGTCAATGAAGAAAATGTTTAAATATCCCAAGTGACTACCGTGGCTCAACTATATGTTTATCAAGCGACGCGAATACTTTTTGTGCGAAAAAACAAACAAAAATAACGAGTTTATTCGACTATTTCTTTTCTTCCTTGTAGGCCAGAACGAGAATTCCTTAGATTTCCACGACGCATGCGCGAGATTTGCGATCTGCTTACACCAGCTTACACTACTTCAGATCGCAATTCTCGCGCATGCGTCGTGGAAATCTATAAGGAAGTCTCGTTCTGGCCTACAAGGAAGAAAAGAAATAGTCGAATAAACTCGTTATTTTTGTTTGTTTTTTCGCACAAAAAGTATTCGCGTCGCTTGATAAACATATAGTTGAGCCACGGTAGTCACTTGGGATATTTAAACATTTTCTTCATTGACTTTTTGGGCCGTCAAGAGGCAGTCCCTTAGGAGCCAATGTGGTAGTTATACAGCTCTCAAATTTAATCAAAAATATCTTCATTTGTGTTCCGAAGACGAACGAAGGTCTTACGGGGTTGGTACAGCATGGGGGTGAGTAATTAATGACTTAATTTTCATTTTTGGGTGAACTAACCCTTTAATGAATGTAATAAGCCAGAAACAATAAGCACAGTGATTTGACCACAGTTAAGGCATGGTTAGGGAAAAAACATCAACAAAATGTTGATTATCTATTGTCAATAGTGTATGAAGTTCAGCTCAAACAGAAATCACTTTCAAACCAAGTTGCTCTCTGTTGTCCGCAAGATTAACTTGAACCCTGTTGAACCTGAAATCTGCGTGCCGAAATCTTTTCCCCTCACAGAAAATTCACAATCGCGGAGGTTCCTATTGAAATGCCTGGATTTCAACCACATCATTAATTGTTGCATAATCCCTGTAACTGACCTCTCATCACTTTACCAACCCAATGGCTCCTAGAATGGAGCGGTACAACTACCGAGTGCTCATCTGTCTAGCGGATGAATTAGTGAAAAGAAACCATCTGAAACTCTTTGACCTTTTCCTCCGCGAACACAAAAAGGAAAATACGTAGAAAGAGAGAAGAGCAAAGATAAAGGAAGAGAGGGAGCCAGTGAGAAACAGCAGAGCTTACAATTTTTTCCAAGAATAATCAAACTCCTCCTCGAGCTGACAGTTGGACAAGGCGGCCTTGGCAAAGTCGAGGGGACAGATAGTTGAGTGCGAATCAAAAAGCTGCTCAAAAGCCTTTTCTGGCATCTCAAGGCTGATTCTCAACCCTCGAAGCCCAATCACGTGCTATTCCTGTAGCTGAGAAACACTATCCTCTTCTACAGAGAAAAATGGGTTTGTAATGGCACATATCTGGATCACAAAAGGTTTATTTACAGACAGACGTAACTGAAACCCGATCAGAGCTGATTCCATAGTGTTGTTTATCTTGTTCTGAGAGAGGTAACCTGAGATGAAAAGCACTGAAGGGCCACAAAGAGCTCTTACCTGGGCGGCTGTGGGAACTCATTGTGGCTGCGACGGCTCTTTCTGAAGTGACTGGGTTGATAATAGGAGGAGTGTGTCCTGGCAGATGAGGATGTGAGAAACACCTCACAGCTCCTCTGGGACTCGTTGGCTGCTCACCATCCACGGTTGAATGGAAAGACGAGTCAAAAGAGATGCGGGACAGGAAAGAAAGGACGATCTCAGAAACTCATAGCGCCCCCTCTGGACGTAATCCAGCTCTGTGTGTTGGTTCCTCTTCAATAGGCTTGAACTGTCAAAAGAGAGAAAGAATGATGTAATGGCTGTGTTTTATAAGCTAATGAGCTGCCTATATAGAACTGAAATATAACCAAGACAGTGAATTGCAATGCTCTACATACAATTGACCTATGGCTAAGCCACGCCCCCTCCACTCACTCGGCCAAACAGTCAACATTCGGGGGCAGGCGCTATGGCTCTGTCACAGTAGGAGACATTTCACAGGAGGCAATTGATGATTTTTGGAGATTTTTTAATTTATTCACGTTTAGTTGGTGTTATGGTCTACCATATAACTTCATTGCATAACTTAATCCAGAGCAGACACTTATATCGGTTGAGATGTGGCTTGGGAAAGGATAAAATACACACCGTCGCCCAGCCTCTCGGGAACCTAGTGTTGGAGTAGCATGTACCCCATACAGACCGTTTGACCATTTTAAACTTAAAATGACAAGAAAAAACGGATGAAAACTGACTAACTGCAATAGATTTCAATGGACGTGGAAGCAGAGAATGTCTGAGTGTATTGGGTTAGCTGCGCACTGTGATTGGCTCATCGCGTTTGAGGGCGTGGCTTAGCCATAGGTCAATTAGCACAACATATGAAAAACACCTTGGTATTACCTTCAGTATAATACATTAGCTTTAGGTCAACGGGTCGGGAACGCCTTATAATGTTCCCTATGTAGGCAGCACACTAGGTTTTGTAACAGTGCCAGAGATGAAGTGCACGTCACTCAAGTGGGCTTTTCCACTCTAGTGTAAATACATGACAAAGGCCAGAGCAGAAGGACGCCGTGACACATTTTGACACGCGGTGGGGTGGTGTAAACCACCCTTTACCAATCTGCCACACTGACACAATCCCTCCCAGCCTTCCATATTTGCTGTCACAAAGCTTAACAGAACTGACAATAACAATCACGTCAAGCAGACATAACGCAGCTCGCCCCACAATAAGAGCGTGTACATTTCTCCTTATGTCCACCTGGAACAAAGGAACCTGTCTGTCAGCATAACAATAGTATCTGGAGCAGTCTAGCACACAGCAGGACTTCACAGCTTAGCCATGTTATGCAACCATAAACATCAGCTGTTCCAAGAGGAATGAGGCCTAGAGTAAAGGAAAATAGTCTGTGAGGGTAGGCTTACCCGAACACTATGTTTCTGGCAAGTAGGGCTCGGTAAGGCTAATAGGGATGAGAATCTGAGGGAATTTCTGATTTCAGGAGCTTAACGATTAAAAACAGTTCTTTTGGGAGTTTAGAGAAAAAAACCCCATCAATAGGTCACAACGATAGAACAAATAAAATACAAATGCCTTATGTACACAATGCAGCAACCTTTTCTGGGTCACATTGATAAATATAATGACTTATTTATAAGAAACTGCTTAGAATCTGTAGCGGCGTCCAAAATCGAATTCTTCCCTATTAAATAGTACGCGAAAAACAGTACGTAGTAGAGAGAGAAGTATATCCTTTTACAGTAGGACAAAAACGGTAACTAAATTACTAAAACAGCAGGGTATACCCGGATGACCTACTTCTTCTGGCGAGATTCTGAAGTGCACATTCAATGGACACTTTACTATCCCATGAGGCCACGGGAGAGGATTTATGAATTGAGGTGAAGTGACACAACTGACCCTGGTAGGTCACGTGATAATGACAACATGGCAGATGTCAGATGAATTTCATACATACTACCCAAATTCATAATTTTTTTTTAATAGCCGTGAAGTAAGATGAATTTCAAATGTAGCACCTATTCAGAGAGTATCCACCGTGTTAGTGAGTTCAAGACTGATTCATGAGTCTTTTTAACAGATTAACTCAAAGAACCCGTTACTAATAGTAATCTAGGGCTGTGAAACGATTAATCGTGATTAATCGCATCCAAAATAAAAGTTTGTGTTTACATAATATATGTGTGTGTAGTGTGAATAATTATATTCTATATATAAATACACACATATACATGTATATATTTAAGAAAAATGCGTTATTAATGCATCAAATATTTATATTTATGTATAATATTAATTTTGTGTGTATATATATATATATATATATAAATAAAGTATATACATGTAAATATTTCTTAAATATATACATGGATGTGTGTGTATTTATATATACAAAATAATGATACACAACACACACACATATATTATGTACAAACATTTTTTTTAATGCGATTAATCGCGATTAATCGTTTCACAGCCCTATAGTAATCCCTTTTTGAACCAGAATGCAATAGTGATGATTCTACATAAAGTGAACTTTAGGATATGCACACATAAATATAAAAAGTATCAATATAAGTATAGTATCAATGCAACTGATTGCGAGTAAAAAATATATATAGCCTTTATATTTTTAGCCCTATTAAAAAGAGATGCACCTAAATCGATGCACAGATCTAAGAAATATGAATGTGTTCAACAAACCTTAAATGTTAGGGTTTGGAAAAAATGTAAAAGGAAAATGTGCAGGGCCGCACTGGCATTCATAATGATACCGACATTACCAGAGTTGTCAAACGTTGATTAACCGATGGGAAAATGTCCTTATTAAAGATTATAAAGACAAACAATATTCCCTTTAGAATAACATGCACTGGAGAAATCGGACCAAGAACGTACATTACAAATTTTTAGTTTGTAAATTAATAATAACATTTTAAGTTGATAGTGACTTCACCCATAATAAAACAATTAAGCATAAGATTCATGCCAGCAAATCTCATCATAAATTCTGAAAATGTATCCTACTACAGCACATGAGTAATTGGGATACGCAGAGGTTTTACTATAGCGCTGTCAAGCCCATTTGAAAAACCTGCTGAGACGAGGGAAACATCACACAGGGCATGCCTGCGTTTAAAAGAGACCAATCCAAACCACACATCAATGCCCTCTAAAAATCCCACACTGCAAGTACTCAATCCCAATTAAACATGCCAAGAAAATGTGATTTAATCTTTGCAACTCCCGAAGCTGACGTGAATTTTTCCGCGCACACCAGAAAAAGGTGTTGCATCACAGGACCCAGAATTAAGTGAAGCATATTAGTCTATAAATCTGTTTTGTTTTAGAGAAGCACGTCTCCGAAGAACCACACGCAATCTTTACGGGACGTCTGATTTTCCAGTTTTCCTCTCAAAGTAACTATGGTTTCTCACAGGGGCCAGGTGGCGTGGATTACATGTACAGTACTGGAGGAACTTTAGTTCCAGTTCTTCCGGCAGGCTTTTGCACTTGCTGTCATCACATGGCTGGCACCCGTCAGCGCAATAAACAAAGAGCGAAAGTGGACGTGCACGGACACAGTGGGTAAGGATCTCGAGTAAATGTGAAAAAGCGAGGGCGGAGACTCAAGCCACAATGACATATTTGTGCAAAGAATTTTATGTAAAGTGTACAGCTGAAGAAACAGCTATTTATAATATTTTTATCAATGCATGTAACTAGGGATGGGACGGTATGAAAATTTCATATCACGATTATAGTGTCCAAAATAATCGTGATTATCAATATTATCACGGTTTTGTTAAAAATTTATGAAAGTGCTCAAAAAGAACTGATGTTCACACTGAAAACATTTTAACAAGTTTTATTATTGAAAATCAACAAAAAACAAATAAAACAAGCCTCTCTATGCAGTTTTTTAAGCAAGATTCTATTATATGGCATTTGCTTCTTTACAATGCCCGTCGTCAATAATAGCAACGCATTATTACACAGCGCACATCCATATCACAACGGACGCGCGCTCTTGTTTCATTCAAATACAACTTGCCGTCTTGCGTCTCCGGTTTTTGATTGTATTGCAAAAATGAAATCAGAGTTCATTTATTGTTTACAGAGTTTGATAATATTGGTGTGATGTATCTTGTCTGGACGATTGTTTAACGAAATGAGGTAAGATTTAAAACATTAGCTAATCTCATTATTATCAATTCAATATGTCCCCGTAATTATGTGGTAAAAATAAAATCGGTTTAATACGTGATGCATCTATACTTTACTATCCCTTAAAATATCACTTTTAATAATAGTCTTGTTTGAAGTTGTTAGTCTTTGGCTCAAATCCACTTGCTACGAACTTTTCTTCGCGGAAGCTTGACGTCTATTTCAAGTGAGTGACATAAAATGTCAAAAACTCAAAACAACATTTCGTGCCCAATTGTTTCCCAGACGTAGTTTTGGTATTGAGGTCAAAGTTAACTTGCCTTGCGTTCGGGTGATGATCACACAAGACGACTCGGCAGATTTGAAGTGTTTCTATTGCAGTGACTTTTTGTTCGGCAGACAGGGTGACCATCCTCGATCAAGTTTCCCTCAGGACTTTTGTAAAACCCAAAATATGACCACACCTCAAATTTGGTCTTCTTAAAAGGCTGAAAAATCTCCTGAGCACGGTCACTGCCTTCCGCCATTCCTCCTCGAATAGTAATTAAAAAAAATATTGCGTGCTGCGTGCCTGCGCCAGACTGGCCGACAGGATTCAGTGAGTTATTAAAATCGCGATAATCAAACACGGTTTTAATGATAATTAAATTTTAAACGATAATACTAACCGTCAGTACATTTTATCACGGTTTATAGTGAAACCGGTTATCGTCCCATCCCTACATGTAACGATTTTGGTTGTGATTATGATTCCATTTAAGGATTCAGGTTCCTTAATGCAATTTCTTTATTTTGTTTATTTAACATATTTGTGTATACGTACACAAACTGTACTGGTAAAAATCCAGATTATTTTATTTCATGCCATGTCAGCAGTCAGAGCTATTTTCATGGCAAAAATTCATTTACAAAAATAAAAACATCATATAAATACAACAAAAACAAAACAAATATAAACAAGAAGTCATATTATACAATATATTATAAAAATCCACTCACTCCATTTGTTATTTTACACATAATAACAAACCAACGCATTATTTTAGACCAACTACTGTAATTATTTTTCGTTCATTAAAAAGGACCATTTTAAA